GGTGCAGATCTACAAACACCAATTCGAAAATAGCTGTAATTAAAAATGTTTAAAGAAAAACGTGAATTAAATTAACGGAAACAAAAGGTTATGGACTTGAACAATAAACATGAATAAAACAATTATTATAAATGGTAATATTCAATAAAATTTTGTCAAATAAAATCTTTGTTACATATATTTTCTATTTCTAAAACTATGTTCTTTACATAGATGTGATATGATAAGATGTAATTTTCTTAGTTTTGAAGGTCGTTTCTATTCATGTTTGCTTCCTTTGACCTCCCCCCGGCCTGTGGATAGTTACTGTTTTTTTTGTTTCTTTCAAAGTTAACTATGAAATTTGAAATCAATGAAAACTGAATATTTCGTAATGAATTTCGCGATATTCGACATGCTGTTTTCTTTCAACTCTCTTCTAGAAAGGTTGCTTCATTAGGATAATTACAATATAATATTTTCATTTGAATTTTATTCAAATTATGTCTTTGCTAACCAGTCCTTAAATGTGTGTTTATATTTTTGCAGAAAGTACAATAAGAAATACAAAGAAGAAAAAAGCATTAAACTGAACAAAAAAAAAAATGGAGTCGGAATACGCAAGCAAAATCGAACAATCGCCGATTGACTTTCAAAAAATGCGTTCTTACTGTTTAATATCGGTGAACATAGTCTGCAATCTGCTTATAGTGGCTGCAATCAGGAGGAGCAAAAACCTGAAAACTCGCACCAACAAAATGATCTACAACTTCGCGTTAATCGACTCGCTGTACTTGATCCACAGATCTGGAGCGATCAGTTACATTTCGGAAAAGATCTCTGTCGACGTGAACGAAGGAAAAGGGTTTTGTTTGATGGGAGTTTTGGAGGTGGCCGTCCTTGAATCGAGAATGATCGCCATGCTCTTGCTGCTCTCCAACGCAATCAAGAACAGCGATGAAACGGTCTTTACCATTTACCATCTATCCGTCTGTTTGCTCTTCGGTATGTGCTCACAGTTTTGTTTACCGATGAAAGGGATTTTAATGATCTTTCAAATGACTGTTCTCCTGATCGTCCGTATTTCGATCGTCTGTTTGCTGATCAAAGAGGTGTACAGAGGGTACACCTATTGCTGCAATCAACCTCTAGATAAAGAAACGACATTCTGGATGAACGTGGCTCGGACGTGCATTTACAGCTGGTTAATTTTCATGTCTTTATTCGTATTTAACGATTCGTTAATCCTATCGATGTTGTTTCGCGTTGCAAGATACTTGTCAGCCCTCACACTCTTCATTTATCTAATCTGTAGCAACAATATCTTCAATATAAGTCTGCTAGAGTTGCTCAGGTGCAGATCTACAAACACCAATTCGGAGACAGTTATTCAAATCGAAAATGATTATAGCTCACCACAGACAATTATTTCGATTCCAGCCGTTTGATTCATGAAATTGTTACAGAGAAAAAGAGAATATAATAGATTTTATAATAATTAAGTTTGTCCAATAGGAAAACAATAAATAGTTTTAAATTTACTAATCAATTCGTTATTTATTTATTTCTTCAAGTAAATCTTCAAAGTTTGTTATCAAACAGAATTATTTAAATAATTATGATATATTTTGATGTATTCTGATTGTTTTATTAACTATAAAGTTTTTTTTTCTCAATTTTGTTGTAGAATGGTATATAAATTGATAGTAGTTTAATAGACCAATCATAACTGAAATAATTTTGAATGCATGATTTATTTAACACTTGTATTTCGATTATTGTTTAAGAAATTAATCGGTACAGTTCATTACTTTATAGACAGAAGTATTGAAAAATACAACCACTTTTTCAGTTCTAGATAAAAAAAAATGGAAATTCAGGCTATAGAGATGTTCTTGAAAACACTAACAACAACGTGACACTACAAGATAGCTTCGTAATGGAAATATACTTAATAAAAAGCTTGTCGTGTTTGGTTGAAATCGTGATATTGGGTCTTATGGGTTTATGTGAATAGTGGAATCATGAAAGTGTTCGAACATTTACTCTCGGCCAATATATTGATCTAAATCTGCCAGATGGTACTATCATACATCACTTTAGAAAATGAATTAATTCCCATTAGATACAAGTAAGAAATGATATTTATAATGAAATTGTTCGTGGTGATGGCTCATACAGGTCGCATCTTACACCGAAATCATGATGTCCAATAAAATATACAATAATACGCTTCAACTTTCTATTAGCTGTATTATTCATGTGTCAACTCTTATTGAAGTTATTCGATTCCGAGCTTTTCCAAAAATTAATTCCTACTGCGATCTTCTACAACACCATCTTCCTGGGCTTGACCTATGATATAATCATGATACTCAAATATATTAGAGTAATTCCGATAAGACGAAATATATCTTACAGAATCTCGCGTATCAACTTGTACAGTTGGATACTGATCTTCATTTGCAGCAACTTCATAAACAAATATGCTCCTATCTTAGGATTCACGAATCTACGACTATTTTAATCAATTAACGTGCTCAATTATGTTGCTTACAACGATTCATGTAAAACCATCGAAATTTTAGTTCAGAAATGTTAATCAATTACATTTATTAACAATACTTTTAATAATTCAAGCATATTCTGATATAAATGTATAAAAATATTTCTGTAAATGTAACTTACAGGCAAATAAATTATATACAAATCGAAATATACAGACTGCTTTTTTTCATCAAATCGAAACGAAATCAACATTGTTTTATTTCAAACAACATTGATTTTTAAATCTTGAAAATATTACAAATATTTATTAGCGCCATCTATCCGCGTTTCTTTGCTTTGTGCCTCTTCTATCAGTACGGATTCACAATAGTACGGTTTTGAAATTTCAAAACATGTAATTTTAACAATACCTGATACAGTATAGTATCTGTATAAAATCATTGATTAGTGCGGATTTAAACAGTCCGGTATGTTGGAAATACCGATTATCCTGTACTCTACTTTATATTAATTTAGTACATTGGGTTGCCTAATCACCGCTTGCGTTAGAATGAAAAAGTATATTTATAATAGAGAAAGGCTATAGTGGCATGTATCACGAAAATCTGATACAAAAGGTCGTTGGTTTAACTACCAAAAATCAACAAAATTTGTGTTGACCGATAAACTCGAAAAAGGGTAGAAATAAGGCCAAAGTGATTTATATCAATCAAATAATAGATAAATTTAATTTGAACGCCATCTAGTGAAACTCACCTGAAATAATAATATCGAATTCATAAATGTAATAACAGGAATCAATTGTTGAGTAAATCCCTCGTAATTTGAAAACCTTTTTCTTTTACTCGAAAACACGTCAATTTAAATTGTTTACTAACTCTGCAAAAGGAAGAAAAAAATAGAATATGTAAAAGTTGTCACCGTTTTTTTGCCATCCCTTCATCATCATTACCACTATTATAACAATCATCATTAGCGTCGTTTACATCATCAATATTAAAGCTTTCACAAACCCCAATGAATCTTCGAATTACAATTCCTTATTTTAGTGTTTTTTCTCGTTTTTTTTATGTTTTCAGTCATTGATTGAATATCATTTTATGCGTTCATCCCTTAGTCAGCTACATTTGTTATTCCACCTTTATACCGATTTGATTTCGCCTTCGGCCCTATTAGACACTTTACGAGCGGTCCGGACAAATTGAGTCCCAATTCGTAATATACAAAAAGAAAAATCAAACGTGCGCCGGGAACGAAAGAAGAAGAAAAGAAGTAATTCATGTGTGTGTATTTTTTTCCTCTCCAATCAAAATGTAGATGTTAAGAAAGGCGAACGACTTCTGAATTCGCATCAAAGAGACGATAATAAACCACGAGATTCCACCTCGACGAATTCATTAGTTTTATGCTTTGCAAATAAGTGATTACCGAGACTTTCGGATATTTCCGCTTCCGGGTTTATTTCTTATGTTAAGGGAAGTTCGCTTGAATTTTCGAATTTTCCTTTTGAGCGTATTTGCTTTGTGATGAATTTCATCTCGAATATAATTATTTGGATATTTTAACATTCTATTACATTTACCGAATTTGATAACTCAATCATTAATAAATCTACAAATTTAATCTAATGAATCATTAGAATCACGTACACCTGCCCCTCGTTTTACACGGTACCTTTTTTTTAAACGTTTTCGCTTTTACACGGTTTTAAAGAAAATAAATTTAAAAATAAAGGTTGAAAACAAAAGGAACGTTCCTTTTTTTGGCTTTCAAGAAAATTAATAACAATCATAATTAATAAACAACGAAATTATGCTGTTTTTTTTTTTGCATACTGTTCGATTTACACGGTTTTACATTCAAAAAGTTACAATTTAGATTTACACGTGTAAATAAGGGTATATGTGTACTTTAGTAGTGAATTTGTTGAAACATTAATATTTAGTAAGTTGACTTTAGTTAATGATAATTTAGGAAATAGTCTTTAGCATATAAATTCTCGTAAATATAATATTTTATATAAAAATAATCTCATACACTAGAGTCTATTTAGTAGATTTTAAACCCAAGAGTTTATTTACACTTTTTCTAATATCTATAATCTTGAAAATAAACTACATTATATAAAATTTAGTAAATTAAAATACAATTAAAAGACTTTTGTATCTAATTAGTAGACACAATAGTTTTCACTAAACTGAAATTATTGGACAACTGTAGATATTGTAAGCAGACCTATAAGTCTTCTTTGCAAGCCAGATTTCTGAAAACTTCCTGCATTATAATTCTTTCATTCTTCTACTAATAATTATTTTCTTATTTTTTTTCTATTACTTTACAACATTTATAAAAAATAATCTTTCTTAATGCTGATGACCCATCAAAAATGAAATAAACTGCTTAACTATTTTCAATAGTTTACGACAACAGAAACATAATTATAAAATGATTGTTAAACAATTTAATATTAATATTATTTATCTATTACCATAGAAAGTCTATCGACCATAGATTTTGCACATAAACAAATCTGTTAAATAAAACAAGTTAAAATCAATGGAAACATTATGAAGAGAGTTTGCTTTCTCCCTCTCTGTCTCTCTCTTCGTCCTTCAGCCAATGTGCGCATTTGCCAACATCCGAGGGATCCCTTCTTCAAAGTGCGTTAGGATTCTGCTATACACGATCGACCGAACGAGCCAAAACGAACCACCAATCCAATCCGGGTGGCCATTTTATTCTTCGTACACTCCTCAAATCTTTCAGTCGTTCTATAACCTCGCCCAAAGCCAACTCGTACCTCATTTTAAAAACAAGTTTTTGCTTACCAAATTACAACACATGTAAGTACTGATTGATTTAATTTCTGTTTCTATTTTTGCATTCAGAAACTAAACAACAACAGCTGTAATTAGAAATATTTAAAGAAAAACGTCAATTAGATTAACGAAAACAAAAGGTATATGGACTTGAACAATAAACATGAACAAAACAATTATTATAAATCGAAATATTCAATAAAATTTTGTCAAATAAAATCTTTGTTAGTGCATACATATATTTTCTATTTCTAAAACTATGTTCTTTACAGAGAAGTGATATGATAAGATGTAATTTTCTTAGTTTTGAAAGTCGTTTCTATTTATGTTTGCTTTCTTTGACCTCCCCCCCGCTCTGTAGATAATTATTGTTTAATAACAAGATACAACGCCCTTTTTAGTTCGTAGTTGTAATTTGTACTAGCTTTTTTTAACTATAAAATTTGAAATCAATGAAAACTAAATTTTTTACGAATATTTAACAAATATTCTGTAGTCTACTTTTCTATATAGTAAAAATTAGTAAAATAATCTAAAGATGAGCGGTGTCAAGTAAATTAAAAATCCATTAATGTATTGGTCTATTTAGTTGAAAAAAATTTCCACTAGAAAAAGTTCTTCAAAAATAAAATATATTTAGAAATCAGTTTTTGTTTTTTTTTTCATTTGAAAATTTTATTTAAATTTTTAGCATTTCAAGATTGAGCAACTTGCAATGATACAGTTGTACGCATTTATCGATACGTCCCTTACCCATCTTTCTGGGAATTACGAGCAACGTCATCCTCATCTCAATGACCAGGACGATTTGTTTGCTAATAAATTTCGCGATCTTCGACATGATGGTCTCCTTCAATACTCCTCTAGAAAGGTTGCTGGTATATGTACATCCACCTGTAGTAAACATGACTGGATCAAAGGAAAATATGCAGGCAGTCGATGACTTAGCTTCTGCTAATCATAACTATATGAAAAAAGTGAAACTCTTAGACGCATTCAGAAATTGCAAGAACAATATTAAAAATTTGAATTCTAAATGTAAAGCGTCAATTTCTAGATATGCAATGGAGTTAGCCAAAAAAAAAATGAAATTGATAATTTAGAAAATCAATTAAAAAAATTAAACCAGTTGCAAAGAGGGAAACTATCATCAGCAACAAGATTATTACTTCCTCACAATCTAGTCATGCCGATCATGACATGTACAACTACGATGATCCGGACTCATATCCGTCTGCTTCTTTGCTGTAAATTATATTATCTACTTGTTTCCCGCTTTCGGCATGTTTGCGAGGGAGATCGATAGGGTGTGGAAGATGTATAAGAGGAAAATGCTGACTCGTGGTACAAATTTAAGATCGAACATCGCTTCATAATCCACATGTTCATCATTATATAAGTCGCATGCACTGACACGAAGTTCAAACAGTTTCTTTTCGACTTTCTCAGATGTAAGAACATCGACAAGGAGATATTGAAATATCTTTTCTTACTATATAAATCAACAAGTCACAATTCCAATGTACGTTCATAAGAACAGACAATTACAACAAAAATATACGATTTTAACAAAAATATTTCTAAAATCCATAGAAAAATCTTAGTCACAACTCCAATTTATGTACGTAATAATGAATAATATTCGAAACAAAATAAAAACAAGACTAGATATTGATGAATTTTTTAATTGATAATTTTCAAGAAATAAACTTTTGCAGTAGAAAATTTAAGTTGATTTGGATAATTAAATATGTCGATTCACTTATGTTTTTTCTAACCAATCTTTAAATGTGTATTTATATTTTTGCAGAAAGTACAATAAGAAATACAAAAGAAAAAAAAATCATTAAACTGAACAAATACAAAAATGGAGTCGGAATACGCAAGCAAAACCGAACGATCGCCGATCGACTTTCACAAAATGTATTTTTACTCCTTAATATCGGTGAACTTCGTCTGCAATTTGCTTATAGTGGCTGCAATCGTGAGGAGCAAAAACCTGAGAACTCGCACCAACAAAATGATCTGCAACTTCGCGTTAATCGACTCGCTGTACGTGCTCCACGGATCTGGAGCGATCAGTTACATTTCGGAAAAGATCACCGGCGACGTGAACGAAGGAAAAGGGTTTTGCTTGATGGGAGTTTTGGAGGTGAGCGTCGTTGAATCGTGCCTGATCATCATGCTCTTGCTGCTCTCCAACGCTATAATGAAATCGAACAAGATCAGCGATGAAATGCTCTTGACCATTTACTATCTATCTGTAGGTTTGCTCTTCGTCATGTGCGCGACGCTTTGTTTAACCATGAACGGGATTTTCGTGATCTTTCAAATGACTGTTCTTCTGATCGTCGGTATTTCGATCGCCTGCTTGCTGATCAAAGAGGTGTACAGAGGGTACAGGTATTGGTGGAAACGACCTCTAGGTAAAGGAACTACATTCAGGATGAACGTGGCTCGGACGTACATTTACAGCTGGTTAATTTTCGTGTTCTCATTCGTAATTAACGCTGCCACCGATTCGTTAATCCTACCGATGTTGTTTTCCACCCCAAGATACGTGTCATCCCTTACACTCTTGATCTATCTAATCTATAGCAACAATAACTTCAATATAAGTCTGCTAGAGTTGCTCAGGTGTAAATCTACAAACACTAATTCAGAGACAGCAATTCAATTCGAAAATGATCGAAGCTCATCTCAAGAAAATATTTCGATTTCAGCCGTTTGATTCATGAAAATTCAACATCTTTGTCCAATAGACTGAAAAAGAAAATATAATATTTATTAATATATAGATTTTATAATAATTAAGTTTGTCCAATACGAAAGCAATAAATATTTATAAATTTACTAATCAATTCGTTATTTATTTATATCTTTAAGTAAATCTTCTACATTTGTTTTAAAACAGAATTATTTAAATAATTATGACAGATTTCGATTTATTCTGATTGTTTTGTTTACTGTGTATTGTTTTTTTTTTTGTAGAAATAATAAATGTATAGAAATTGAAAGTAATTTAACTTTAGATTAATGTTTAAAAAATTTAAGAAGTAGTAGTTGTTAATTAATCAGCACAATTATTTTTTTTTTATAGATGAAAGTATTGAACTGTGTTAACACTTTTTTCGGTTCTAGAAAAAATGGAATCCCAGTATATCCTGAAGAATCCTGAGGATGTGTGGGTCTTCAAAAACATATCGTTTGAGGAGGGGTACAATGTTGACGTAGAGTATATAAAAATGTGGTCGTGTTTTCTTGACTCTTTTATGTTATTATTCATGTTGTTCGACTTTGATTCGAACAGTCGAATCTACAAAGTACTCAAGCGCTTTGTTGCGGCCAATGTCTTATACTATATCAACCATCTTGTAATGTCAAAGATAAGCTTAGCAAATGATGAACTTAGCAATAGCTTTATAGAAACAATGTTAACGATAATGAAATTGCACGTGGTGATGTCTCATATGGCAGCTTTCCTCTGCGTCATCCTGCTCTCATCCGAATTCATGATGTCCAGTAAAATATCGGATCACAAGCTCATGAGCTATTCCTTCGTACTGTTCATTGTATTATTCATCGTTCAACTCTTTCTGATGTTATTCACTTCCGTACCTTTCCATTCATTCATTCCTACCGTGATCTTCCTCAGCAGCATCTTCATTGTGTTCTTCAACGATTTGACCCTGATATACAAATATATTAGAGGGATTCCAATAGGCGTGAGTACAGTTTTCAGGATGAACATCTCTCGGATCTACGTGTACTCTTGGCTACTGATCGTCATTTGCAGCAACTTTACGACCGTATTGTCTCTGAAGATATCTTTGATTGGATACTTTCACAGTCTTTTGATATTTGCCTATTTGTCTACTTATGGTTCTAAAATCTGGTTAATTCTAAAAGTCAAAGAGGATCCAATTGACGTTGTTCCAGCTGTTACCATTGAAACCATCAAAACCAATAAAACCGTCGAAATTTCAGTTGATAAATATTAATCCATTACGTTTATCGACTGTACTTATAATAAATAAAGCATGTTATTCAGTTACGAATGTTCAAAAATATTTGTGTTAATGTACCTTACAAATAAAATACATACAAATCCAAATATACAGACTTTTTTTTCATCATATCATAATATTTGCATTAACGAAATCAATATTAATTGTTGCTACAATTAAACCTTGAAAATTTTACAAATATTTGGTAGCGCCATCTATCCGATTTTTCGGTAATTATGATCCGTCATAGCTTTGAAATATAGTTGCAATTGATCTTAGATGAAAATAAAATATAATAAAGATAAAAAAGTATTAAAAATAATTACATTTCGGTTTCTGAAGAATATTAACTAATTATGCATGACGATCATGATACAAATAGACATACGTATAAATTGAAAAGATCCATCTATTAACAATTTGCGTAACTAAATCGTCCTTTTATAAAGATAATTATGCGTTGCGTTAAAGTTCTTTTTTACATCCAATCAAAAACTGTCATTTTTATATCATCTCTGAACTTGTTTATGGAAGTACCTCTAAAAAAACAAAAAACTTGTGAAATGAACGGAGGTTTCATTAACTGTATTTCCTTTCTTCTAGAGGTTTCTGATTTGAAATGGATCAAGTATTGGACGATTTTTTGGAGAACTCGACGTCGAAAGCGCACGAACATGAGACGATGTACAAGATCCATTTCTGCAGCCAGGCGGTTGTCTGCTTCGTGAGTTTGGTGGCCGATCTCCTCATAGTCACCATCGTTTTGAACAGCAAAAGAATGCGAACGCGAACCAACAACGTGATCATGCACTTCGCCATAGCGGACTCCTTCTGCATGCTCAACGAGATGGGAATGATCTACTATGCTTTGGATAAGCTCATCCCGAACCTCGAGGATAGCCGTCTGTACTGCGTGCTGAGCATTTACGAGATGACCTCGCAGATAGCTTGTTTCGTCTTCGTCCTCTTCCTAATCTCGAACACGTTGATACAAACCCAGAAGTTCTCCGATAAAATACTCCTGATCGGATACTACGCAACGATCTCTGCATTCTTCTTGGCGCACGCCGTTTCTTGCGCGTTCTACTATACCTCCTTTCCGATGTTCCACATGCTGCTCTTCATACTGTTCATGATCACCATCATTTGTATCTTCATCAAGGAGATCAACAGATGCTGTAAAGCGAGAAGGAACAGTCCTCTCAGCCAGAAAACGGCTTTCAGGATGAACATCGCCAGAATCTACGTTTACTCTTGGCTATTCAATACCCTCTGCTACGGCTTTCAAAACGATGTGTTCCTCTTCCTCGGATTGATCGGCTACATGTCCGGATTCTTCATTCTTATGTACTTGATTTACAGTCATCGCAACTTCAGAATTAGCTTACTAAACTTGCTTCGTTGCCGTAACTACGACATAGATGTTACCATCAGTTTTGCAGACAGTTGCAGCGAATCCATCAACGACAATCCTGTGATCGCAGCCAATTTAGATAATAATTTGCAAGAACTAGAAGATACAACTGACGTCAATTTAGCGAGAGTTTAATTTGCATTTCAAGCAACAAAATAATATACTTATAGTTGGGATTAACAAATAACTTAACGTGTACAATAATATATGTAGTTAATGAAATTTTCTTCACAAATAAACTTTAAACTGTTAAACTTCTTATGATTTAATATGAAGGATTCTTCCATTTGCGAATCTATTGATATAAAAACACTTAATAATAAGGTGTACTTTCACGTTTTATCTATCATTATCTCATTTTCTAATCAAATTAAAGGAAAGCCTTTTCATAATACATATATTTGTATTGCAAGAATGGAAACTGTGGATTAATTCTGTTTCCTTTCTTCTAGAAACTCTAGAGAAACATGGAAGAAGCTGTGATCGAATTAATGGAGAACAATACTTCAATAGACAACGATGTTGAAGTAGTATACTTGATCTTTGGTTTCATGGAAATGCCCGCATGCTTGATTAGCTTGGTGTCCGACCTGTTGATCGTATTAATTATGGTGAAGAACAAGAGCGTGAATACTCGAACGAACAAGGTGATCATGCACTTCGCTATAGCGAACGCCTTCAGTATGCTCGATGATTTAGGCCTTTTCTACATCATCTACGATAAAATCGTCTACCATATAACTATGAATTATATCTTCTGCGTTTTCGCAATCTTCGAAGTCACATCGCTATGTGCTAGCTTGGTACTAATATCACTGCTACTCTCCAATACACTGATGAAGAATACAAGAGTCTCCGATAAGATGCTGATATCTATATACTACGGAATCATCGGCCTCGTTCTCATCTCGGAAATACTCATCTGCGCGTTCCTCCATAACAACTTCCACGTCTTCCAATTTATAAACTTCCTTACATTTACGATAGCACTCATCTGTCTCTTGGTCAAGGAGGCCAATAGGTTATATAAGTTCTTGAGGAAACGACCTTTGAGCCAAAACACAGCCTTCAGAATGAACGTGGCAAGAATTTACATATACAGTTGCTTACTGAACTTCTTGTTCTACGGACCCAAAAAATATCTGATCTTTCTTAGCTTGTTTGGAAACTTGGCAGGTTTTTCCATCATCCTATACTTGGCCTACAGCGATCGCAACTTCAAGACTTGTTTGCTGAACTTGCTGACTTGCCGAATGAGAAACTACGACTCTGATGCTACCATCAGGTTTGCAAACGAATGCAGCGAAACGATGAATGAAATACCAGATGTTAATGTGACTTTCAATGGAAATACAACTGCATTACGTTAACAACAAACGAGAAATGTTAATATAATCAATTAATAGCCGCTAAATAATGTATGCAATCAAATATGCAATAAACTTAGAGCTTAAAATAGAAACGATTTTATATTTTATCCAATTACTCGATAACCACACAAACTAATTAGAATGTCAAATTAAAGATAAAACCTTGTTTTTTGGTATCTACCACTTCTTCACTATAGGCTGTCAAAATTAAACAAGCAAATTCAAGCAGTGTATTCATGTTTCACTTAATTACTCGGTAATTACGACCTCTCATTTGAGACTAATCCCAAGTATTTCTGATCTACTGTAAGTTACTAACAAAATCGAAAAAGTAATGGTTTGATTTTCATATTATGTAATTGATTTTTGATAATTTCATATCAATTTATTGGACTAAACTTTTGATATAATAATAAACAAATAATTGATAAAAGAAACTATTTTCAAATTAAGTCGAAAACTATTAAACTAGTCACATAGTTTATACAAGAAGATGAAATAATTGTTAGGCAAAGTTTGTTAGTAAATGAGATATTACGAATATTCCAACATTTTATTTTGATAAGTTTGAATTCCTTCCCGTTGATATAATTGCATAATGCAAGAATGTAAACTGTGGATTAATTCTGTTTCCTCTCTTCTAGAAACTGTAGAGAAACATGGAAGAAGCTGTGATCGAATTAATGGAGAACAATACTTCAATAGACAACGACGTTGAAGTAGTATACTTGATCTTTGGTTTCATGGAAATGTCCGCATGCTTGATTAGCTTGATGTCCGACCTGTTGATCGTAATAATTATGGTGAAGAACAAGAGCGTGAATACTCGAACGAACAAGGTGATCATGCACTTCGCCATAGCGGACGCCTTCAGTATGCTCGATGATTTAGGCCTTTTCTACATCATCTACGATAAAATCGTCTACCATATAACTATGAATTATATCTTCTGCGTTTTCGCAATCTTCGAAGTCACATCGCTATGTGCTAGCTTGGTACTAGTATCAATGCTACTCTCCAATACACTGATGAAGAACACAAGAGTCTCCGATAAGATGCTGATATCTATATACTATGGAATCATCGGCCTCGTTCTCATCTCGGAAATACTCATCTGCGCGTTCCTCCATAACAACTTCCATGTCTTCCATTTTATAAACTTCCTTACATTTACGATAGCACTCATCTGTCTCTTGGTTAAGGAATCCAATAGGTTATATAAGTTCTTGAGGAAACGACCTTTGAGCCAAAGCACAGCCTTCAGAATGAACGTGGCAAGAATTTACATATACAGTTGGTTACTGAACTTCTTGTTCTACGGACCCAAAAAATATCTGATCTCCCTTAACTTGTTTGGATACTTGGCAGGTTTTTTCATCATCCTATACTTGGCCTACAGCGATCGTAATTTCAAGACTTGTTTGCTGAACTTGCTGACTTGCCGAATGAGAAACTACGACGCTGATGCGACCATCAGGTTTGCAGACGAATGCAGTGAAACCATGGATGAAATACCATATGTTAATGTAACGTTCAATGGAAATACAACTTCATTACGTTAACAACAAACGAGAAATGTTAATATAATCAATTAATAGCAGGTTAAATAATGTATGCAATAAACTTAAAGCTTAAAATGGAAACGTCTTTACATTTTATCCAATTACTCGATAACCACACAAACTAATTAGAATATCAAATATGCAAATTAAAGATAAAACTTTGATCTTTACAACGAGTTAACATCTATCTTTCTGGTATCTACCATTTTTTCAATATAGGCTCTCAAAATTAAACAAGCAAATTCAAGTAGTGTCTTCATATTTCACTTAATTAATTCGATAATTACGAACGCAATTTACATCAAATATGTTTATTTGAGACAAAATTACAACCTCTCATTTGAGAGTAATCTCAAGTATTTTAACTGATTTTCTGCAAGTAATATTTTGTTTTTCATATTATGTAATTGATTTTTTATAATTTCATATCAATTGGACTATACTTTTGATAAATAATAATTAAATAATTGATAAAAGATACTATTTTCAAATTAAGTCGAAAATTATTAAACTTTTCACATAGTTTTATAGTTATAAAATAAGATGGAATATTTGTTAGAAAATGTGATACTACGAATATTCCAACATTTTATCTTCATAAGTTTGAATTCCTTCCCGTTGATATAATTTGATAATGCAAGAATGGAAACTGTGGATTAATTCTGTTTCCTCTCTTCTAGAAACTCTAACGAAATATGGATGAGCAGGCTATGATCGAAATATTGAGCAACCAAACTTCAATAGACGACAGCAGTATCGTGATGTACAAGATCCATAACTGCATAGAATTGGTCTTATGCTTCATAAATTTGATGTCCGACCTGTTGATCGTAACGATTATGATGAAGAACAAGAGCGTGAACACCAGAACTAACAAAGTGATCATGCACTTCGCTATAGCGGACGCCTTCAGCATGATCGACGATTTGGGACTGTTCTACATCATTCACGAGAAGATCACATACCATTTATCTATGAATCGTCTCACTTGCGCTTTCGTAATCTTCCAAATCACATCCCTATGTGCCAGTTTGCTGTTTATCTTACTTCTACTCTCCAACACATTGATGAAGAGCGCAAGAGTCTCCGATAAGATTCTAATATTAGTTTACTACGGAATCATAGGCCTCGTCTTTATCTTGGAAATCCTCTTCTGCGCATTCCTGCATCGCAACTTTCACGTCTTCCACTCTGTTAATTTCCTTATTTTTGCGACAGCGGTCATCTGTCTCTTCGTTAAAGAGGTCAATAGATTATATAAGTTCTGGAAGAAACGACCTTTGAGTCAAAACACGGCGTTCAGGATGAACGTGGCCAGAATATTTATATACAGTTTGATGGTGGAGTTCTTCAGTTACGGAACCAACAAATTCCTGCTCTTCTTTGGCTTGTTTGGATACTTGACAGGTTTCTTGATCATCCTATACTTGGCCTACAGCGATCGCAATTTCAAGACTTGTTTGCTGAACTTGCTGACTTGCCGAATAAGAAACTACGACGCAGATGCGACCATCAGGTTTGCAGACGAATGCAGCGAAACCATGGATGAAATACCAGATGTTAATGTCACGTTCAATGGAAATACAACTTCATTACGTTAACAAGAAATATGAATATAATCAATTTATAGTAGCTAAATACCATTGTTTAAAAGCAACCATGTTATATTTTCACTAATTGCTATAATATTCAATTCTCATATTTATTGAATACAATACTCTAAAACCCATTACTAAAAACCTTTTCAAGGAATGTAAATACATTATTCCAATGATTCTATTATAAGTTTTATCATTTATCATAAGCAATAAACTTAAAGCCTGAAGAAGCAATGTCTTTACATTTTATCCAATTACTCGATAACCACACAATCTAATTCGTTTGTCAAATATGCAAATTAAAAGTAAAACCTTGATCTTTGTATCAAGTTAACATCCAGATTTCTGGCCAATACCTATTTCCCATAATAAATCGTCAATATTAAACAACAAAATTCAAGCAATGTCTTCAGCTTTCACTCAATTATTCGATAATTACGAACGCAATTTACATCAACTAATTTGCAGATTTCACACGAAAATACGACCTCTCTCTTGAGACTAATCCCAGATATTTGATCTAAACTAATCTCCAGCAATAAGCTTACAAAATCGAAAATGCGATATTTTATTTTTTAAATTAACTCGAAAACTATTGAAGTTTTTACATAGCTTATAGTTATACAAGAAGATGAAATAATTGTTACGTAATATCTGTTAGAAAACGCGTTACTACGAATATTCCTTCGCGGTGTTACAATTTCATAATATATATATTTGTAATTGCAAGAAAGGAATCTGTGCATTAATTCTGTTTCCTCTCTTCTAGAAATTCTAGCGAAACATGGATGCGATCGAATTATTTAAGAACGATACTTCAATTGGCAACGACAATGCAGAACTGTACAAGATTCATGATTACATGCGACTTCCTATTTGCTTGCTAAATTTGGTGTCCGACCTGCTGATCGTAACAATTATGATGAAGAACAAGGGCAGGAATACTCGAACCAACAAATTAGTCATGCACATCGCCATAGTAGATGTCTTCAGAATGCTCGACGATTTGGGACTGTTCTACATCATGTACGAGAAAATCCTCTACCATTTACCTATGACTCGTCTCTTCTGCGTTTTCGTAATCTTCGAAGTCACATCTCTAAGTGCTAGCTTGGCATTAACATTACTGCTACTCTCCAATACACTGATGAAGAGCACAAGAATCTCCGATAAGATGTTAATATCTTTTTACTACGGAATCATCGGCCTCATTCTCATCTCGGAAATCCTCTTCTGCGTATTCTTTTATAACAACTTCCACGTCTTCTATTCCCTAAGCATGTTTATATTTATGATCGCGGTCATCTGTCTCTTGATCAAGGAGGTCAATAGGTTATATAAGTTCTTGAGGAAACGACCTTTGAGCCAAAGCACAGCGTTCAGAATGAACTTGGCCAGAATTTACGTATACTGTTGGTTGCTGAACTACTTGTACGGACCGAACGAATTCATGATCTTTCTTAGCTTGTTTGGATACTTGCAAGGTTTTTTCACCCTTCTATATTTAACCTGCAGTGATCGCAATTTCAAAATCTGTTTGATGAACTTGCTGAGATTCCGTAACAACTTCACAGATGCGACCATCAGTTTTGCAGACGAATGCAGCGAAACCATGAATGAAACTCCAGATGTTAATGTCTCGTTCAATGGAACTACAACATCATTACACTAACAATAAATATTAATATAGTCAATTAATAGTAGCTAAATAAACTAGTCCAATGATTCTATTATAAGATTTGTGAATTTTATCATTTTATTGTATATAATAAACTATCAAAGATGAGCAATAAATTTAGAGCTTGAAAAAGCAATGTCTTAACATTTTATCCAATTACTGGAACACCTCACAAGTTACACCGAGTAAACTTCCAGATTTCTGATCTCTACTACTTTTGCGCAATAGACTCTCAAAATTAAACAACCAAATTCAAGCAGTGTCTTCCAATTTCACTCAATTACTCGACTATTACAAACTTAATTTATATCAACTAATGAGATAACACAAATGGGACCTCTGCATTGAGTTTAATCCCATATATTTGAACGTTACTGATCTTCTACAATAAGCTAACCAAATCGAAAATTTTTAAATGTTATTTTACAAATATTTAAGCTTCATATAATTAGAATATATTTATTTAATCACATAATTGATATAGTTTTGTATTGACTAATAAATTACTATTGATATAATATTTGTAATTTCGAGAAGGGAAAATAGATATTATAATAATTCTGTTTCCTCTATTTTAGAAAATCTAATGAAACATGGATGTAGAAGCTATGATAATGACCAACGACACTTCAATGGACAACGAGAGTGAAGTTGTAGACAAGATCGATGGTTACATGCAAATGTTCATATGTTTGTTAAGTTTGATGTCTGACTTGTTGATCGTAACAATTATGGTGAAGAACAGAAGCATGAACACTCGAACCAACAAGGTGATCATGCACTTCGCCATAGCAGACGCCTTCAGAATGATGAACGATCTGGGTCTGTTCTACTACATCTACGAGAAAGTCATCTACAATTTAACTTCGCATCGTTTCTACTGCGTTGTCGCAATCTTCGAAATAACATCTGTATTTGCAAGTTTTCTATTCGTGTTTCTCCTACTCTCGAATACGCTGATTAAGAACACGAAATTCTCAGATAAGAGTATAATATCATTTTACTACGGCATCATCGGTCTTGTACTTGCATTGGAAATCCTCTTCTGCGCCTTCTTTCATCTCAACTTCCACGTCTTCTACATTTTTATCTACTTGACACTTGCCACTGCATTCATCTGCCTCTTGATTAAAGATATTTATAGAGGTTTCAAGTACTGGAAGAAACGTGTTTTGAGTAAAAATACGACGTTCAGAATGAACGTGGCCAGAATTTACTTATACAGTTGCTTTGTGAACTTCGTGAGCTACGGAACACTGTACATCTACTTGTTTGGATACGTGGCGGGTTTTTTCATCGTCCTCTACTTAGCTTACAGCGATCACAAATTCAAGATGTGTTTGCTGAACTTGCTGAGATTCCGAAACTTCGAAGCAGAAGCGAACATCAGATTTTCAGACGAATGCAGTGAAACCATGAACGAAAGAACTGATGATAACTTCACAATCAATGGAAATACAACTTCTTTGCCTTAAAGTTACAAAAAAATATCATTTGTAAAGCAGTAGTTTTTAAAATTTTTAGCAACGATATTAATATTTAAATCAATTTTACATTTGAATTATTTAATGAATACTTACAATACTTGAAACAATGGATATGCAAATTATGGAAAAATGTGTTCTTTGTAACAAGTCTACTATAAAATTTGTGCAATTAACCGCTTTGTTGTAAAGAGCTTTTATATTCGCATTTAATTAATCTGCAACTAAACAAGCTAAATGGATTATAGAACTTACTAATTTTAGAATAAAATTTGGGTATTTGTATAAGATACCATGAGATTTGTGGTATTTAACTAATAAACTATTGAACGTTTTTTATTTTTTCTCCATTTGTTATTTATTTTTTCAGAATAATTCGAGAAATATTTGTTTTTTTTTTGTTACGTGTTGAAATTTGATGATTACATCAGAAGGAATCTTCTGTTGAGAGATTAACTGCTGCTACAAATGCAAATTAAATGTAATTATAACTAAAAACAATATTTTTCAGTTGGAGCTGAAAATTGCAAGATTGTCCTTCATGCTAAAGTAATAATGAATATCTTTTGTTGTATTCCAGAATAACCTCTAGCATATAATGGATGAATGGACGGATGAAATGCTGGAGAACAGCACACAAATCATCTACGAAACTGATCTACAATTCGAGATCCATTCGTACATGCGAACGTTCGTATGCATCGTGAGCTTACTTTCAGATCTCTTGATCGTAGCTATTATCTTGAAGAGCAAGAAGATGCGTACTAGAACCAACAACGTTATACTGCACTTCGCCATAGCAGACATGTTCTGTATGCTCAACGAGATGGGTCTGATCTACTACATCTACGATCATGTCGTCTACAAGATAGTCCCGAGTCGACCCTACTGCATGTTCGCAATATACGAGGTCACCGCGGGATTTGCGAGCCTCCTATTCATGATCTTCCTTCTCTCCAACACCCTGATTAAGACCAAAAGACTGTCAGATAAAACCCTCCTGATAGGATACTACGTGATGATAGGCGCGCTCTTCATCATGCACACTTTATTCTGCGTCTTGTATCACACCTACTTCCCGATCTTTCACATGATATTTTTCTTTATGTTAATCGTCACCTTTATATGCCTGTTCGTGAAGGAGATTAATAGGTGCTGCAAGATCTGCAAGAAACGTCCGTTGAGTGAGAAGACGACTCTCAGGATGAACATAGCTCGTATTTACGTTTACAGTTGGCTCATCTCTCTCTTTACCTACCGACCAAACAATGTAATCTTTCTGATCACATCCTTGTTCGGATACTTCTCGGGATTCAACATCCTCGTGCTCTTGGTCTGCAGCAATCGCAACTTCAAAATATGTCTTCTGAACTTGTTGAGATTCCGAACGCAGAACTATGACATTGATGCAACCATCGGTTTTGAGGATGACTGCAGTGAATCATCCGACGATGATCGTCCAGCTGTTAACATCACGTTCAACGGAATCGAAACCACTCAGCCGGAAACCAACAACGTTACTTAACTTCTAAAAAAAATGTAGCCAAGAAGCGCTGAATTAAATGTTGTTTTCTTTAAATTCAAATACATTTTTCTTATTATAAAACCTATAAACTCAAATTCCTTTCCTCAATTCTGAAACAAATCATAGTTTGTTTTTACCAAAAAGAGAGCTTTCTGCTAATACCTAGCTAACTCTTCTCTGCTTTAATCTAAAAATCGCAATATTTTTTGTGTACAATGTCCTAATTACAATAATTTTATTTATTACGTTTAATCAAACAAACGCAGATGTGATTTCCATTTTTTCTTGATTTCTTGTTATATTATGCTATATTTAGACTACTCTAATCAGAAGTTCAAAATCTGTTTGTTAAACTCATTTACAAGACAATCCTTAAACTTCTACTGATTCCATGGCAATAAGGAAACAGAACTTATCTCAAATATTCCTGATTTAATCATCTTTATGTAAGAAAATGACTAAAGTGAACATTAGTTGAAGAATCTATGTACTTATTGCAATTCCTATTGTTTTTAATTCTAATTAATCATCTTATTCATACATGCAGTAAAAATGAATAATATGAAAATTTGCTTAATAATCTTTGTGTTTGTCACAATTGCTTATATTCTAATCGTAATTAATCTATTGCAATCATTAATTCAACATTATATAACAGCATAAATGTATTGCTTTCTGATTTTCATATAAAATAATCATTTTATTATTATTAATTTATTTAGTAAATTTGTCCAAATTTAATAATTCAATTTTCATTCACTAATGTGGTAAGTTTCGTTCTATTAGGACGTTGACAGTTACCATTCAAACTGATTTAGATTTAAACTAACATTTTTGAGCTCATCAATTGATAATTTCCATTCAAAGCACCATGGAAATCGATTTAATAAATATTTGCTGTTACCTAGGTAACGCTTATTTGCTGCAATCGATAAATCAATAGCTTTCATCGATGCAAATCTCTATATTAATATCATCTTTTTCTATTTTGTTCAAGACATCATCGAATCATGGAGAAACTAATGATGTTCAACTCATCCGCATCGCGCATTGAACCCGAATGGCTGGACGTGATGAACTTTTCGGCAAGGCTGACCTGTTCAATCGTCGGAATCGTGTCCAACTTGATCACCATATTCATCATCGGCAAGATTAATACGAAGATGAGCGAGATGGACAAGAAGATCATGATGCTATCGATCAACAATCTGCTCTTCCTGATCAACTCGATCGTTCAGCAATTCGTGATCAGATACATGGAACCCAATAAACTGAGAACTTGTCTATTGGTGAACTACGAGTTGGCATTGTTCATGTCCTGCGTAATGGCAATTCTTGTCATGTTGTACACAAGTAAAGAGCCGACGGCCGAAGAGATGTCAGATAATGGTCTGGTTTACATATTGTACACCCTTGTCGTCATTTCCCTGGTTTTCCAAACGCTTTTCTGCTTCACTCAAATTAATGACAGATATTTTGACCTCATAGTGAATTTCTGTTTCTTCGTGTGCTTCGGAGCTTTGATTAGGAACGAGGTCATAATTTGCTGGAAACTTTATAACCGCGAAGCGACGTGTCCCAGTCCTCCTGTATGCATGAACTTCGCAAGAATCTTCGTCTACAATTACCTAATTACCATCATTCTGTTTGCCATATTTAATCCTAATGGCATTCTTGTTCTCATACGTTCCACCACTTTCATTACTTCATTCTATATTATGATATACTTGATCTACTCGAACAAGAAGTTCAGATTTTTTTTACTAAACTCCCTTAGATGCAAATCAACTAACTTAGGTAGTGAACTTCTAGACGATGAAGATGTTCCAACTATAAATTTGTAAAATGATACTGATTCGAAATATGTTTTCTTATTTTTACTTTTCTTTTCAATTTTTTTTCTCATTTCATATAGAAAACAATATTTTGAACTTATCGTAAATACTTATGTCTTATAATCATTTATGTAAAAACCAATAGAGTGAAAATAACCTTAGTACTTATCGCAAATACTTATGACTTAATTGTACTAAATCTACTATAATCATTTATGTAAAGAAAATTATAAAGTTCCAATATTTATTAAAGTTAATGTTTATTCAATTAACCAACATTTAAACAAATTGTAAATTTAAATGTAAGCTCGTTGGAAAAACCATACTTTTATCTTTCATTCTAACAAAACGTAGATAATTGCCTATTTTGAAGAAATTACATGAAAGAATCACATATTTGAAGATAATCACCTTGGAAACTATTTTCATATGTCACCTAGGTAACTATCATTAACAGCAAATGCTGAAACATGTTAGCTTTATTTAGTGCAAATGTATTAATTTTGTATTGTGTTGCAGATATACCTGAACAATGGAAAATCTAAGAATGTTCAACTCGAATTCATCACTAATTGAACCTGAATGGAAGGATGCAATGAACTATGGAAGCTTGACCTGTTCAATCGTGGGAATCGTGTCCAATATGATCACGATATTCATCCTCAGCAGGATTAATTCGAAGATGATCAGGACTGACAAGATGATCATGATATTATCCATCAACAATCTACTCTTCCTGGTCAGCTCAATCGTGAAGCAATACGTGATCAGACACATGGAAACCGATCGAACAACGATCTGCATCTCGATGAGCTGCGAGGAGAGCTTATTCATGGCCTGCTCAATATCAATAGTCATCCTTCTATCAAATAGGATCTATGTAACCGAACGGAACATAGACGAATTTTTGCTCTGCATATTGTATACGATTGTACTGGTATCTTTCGTGCTGCAAACGATTCTTTGCTTGGCTCGCGTTAGTAACAAAATTTTTGACATCATGACACAGTTCATTTTCTTCTTTTCTTTTGGAGTGTTGATCAGAAACGAAGTCACGTATTGCTGGAAATGTTACAAGAAAGAAGTTTCATATTCCAATATTCCTGTACGCCTTAACATTGCTAGAATCTTCATTTACAACATGCTGATCAGCTTATTTTTGTTTGTCTTTTTAGATTCAAGTCCCATCATGGTGATTATACGTTTCACCACTTTCTTTACGTCTCTTTATATCATGGTGTACTTAATATGCTCACATAAGAACTTCAGAACCTGCTTGTTAAACTCACTTAAATGTAGATCAAATAGGATTGATAATGATCCTCCAGTACAATCTACTAATGATGATGATGATGATGAAGATAATCCTACTGTCAATATTTGTTGCTTTATGTAAGAAAAATTAAGTTCTAATTTTTATTCTAAACTCACTTATATGCCGATCAACTAACTTGGGTAGTTTAACACTAAACTTCACTACAGTTAGAAAACCGAAAAACATGGAAACAAAAAAGTTTGGGAACCTCTGTTCTAGATAATGAAGATATTCCAATTATGAATTCGTAAACTGATACCGATTCATCTTTTCTTATTTTTGCTGGTCATTTCAAATTACATGTAATTTCATATAAAAAATGATATGATATTTAAAAAAAAATATTTTGTACTTATCGCATATACATAATCATAATTAATCCACTATAATAATTTATGTAAGAAAACCAATAAAATGAAAGTTTGCTCAATAACCTTAGTACTTATGACTTAAACATACTAAATCTATTATAATCATTTAAGTTTAAAAAAAAAAACAATAAAGTTCCATTGTTTACTAAAGTTTTTTTTTCCCTGCACGTTTCAAATCACAAAAAAAAGAAAAACTGGTTCTGAATATTTAAAAAAAGTGTGTACTCAATAAATTTTTTATTTCTTTATTTATTAAACCCGAAGAGCAGAAGAAACTTCAACACGCGACTTCCTCTTAACGAAGGCTCCGGCCGTTACCCTTAGCACAATTCAAACTATTTCTAATATTTATTATTACTTACCTACGATTTAAACATTATACAAAATTATATTTTTCATCGGCCGACTGCGATTCCCCGAAAAAAAAGGTAAACCTAAAACATCCATTTTATATCCTATCCTATCATATCTTCACATTTTTATCGATGACTAATTTAAGATCAATATTTAGGCTTTCCAACGCGCCCTTAACGAGATTTCTAGCTATTACAGTTCGGCTGTAATCAACAGTTTTTGAAAAGTTGTTTTTTTTACGTTAAGTTACGTAAGTTCGGTTGCATACGTTTTCTTCGTCGCTTTCGAAACTCCCGCGTCTTCAACCAGCAGGCGTTGGTGGCGTCGCCGCCTATGTTTTCGTCATCATTTGCGGTGTTATGTATAACCGTTATTGTTTATATTATGTTAGCCCTTATTATTTTATACATGTTTATTTAATCATTATAAGTCATTAAGACTTAGAACAAATACCACTTATTAAAATCCCATAACTAATCATTGTGTAACGACTATTCTTAATCATCATATTTTGAACAAACTCGAAGGTCCAATCTATAATGACCTTTAATATGTCATCTGCCTAATGACTTACAAATTAGGGAAAGCTAGGTACTATCTTTCCCTTCCAAATATTGTACTCCCACTATGTTAATTCCCTACTATAAAATAGGATGTTTATGTAATACAAAGTTAGTCTAAGAGTAAGTTTTAGAAGAGCAACCCAAGAGTTTACTTATATTTTTAGTGTTAAAATATATTATTTGTGTTCATTGACTTTTGTCTAGCCTTTTACTAAAACCCTCTTCAGACTCCACAACTGCAGAAATATAAGTAGATCCACTGTGTCCAAATTCCATCCCCGGGACACGACAGCGGTCATCGTTAAGATACTCGATTGTTGATGATCATTCGAAAAGTTTTCCTCTTTTAAAACCATCATAAAGTGCAGAAGATGAAGTATCTGTATTGTGCGTTGGTGCTTTGTGC